ATCTCTTTAGTGTACATACTGAAGTGGTCATTATTGAGAGCCAATATATCATCTAAATATCTAAAAGTGTTATTAAATTTTTGAATCAAATGTTGTTTCGATGGGTCTTTGCTGATTTTAGTCATAAATTGTAACTCATAACAATACAGAAACAGGTCCGCAATAAGTGGTGCACAGTAAGTCCCCATGGGAATTCCGATAACCTGACGATATACGGAATCTCCATAGCGACCAAAAATGTTATCTAGTAAAAATTCAAGGGCCAGTTATAGTATCAAAGCAGGTCCAATTGACATAGTTCTTTTGTTTGTTGTTACTAAAAACAACATATTAAAATTTGAAAAGCTTTGGTTGAATGGTTCATGAGTTTAAGCATGGACACGACTGGAAAGACCATTTTTCAATCTTTCAAGAACCATTAATCCTGAACAGTGAAAGTGAAAATCGTCAATATTGAACTTGACCTCCACTTTGTCATCAGTTACAACATGTTAAATTTGAAAAGCTTTGGTTGAATGGTTCATGAGTAAATGCCAAACACGACTGGAAAGACCATTTTTCAATCTTTCAAGAACCATAACTCCTAAAAGGTAAAAGTGACAATCATCAATATTGAACTTGACCTCCATTTTGTCATCAGAAACAACATATTAAAATTTGAAAAGCTTTGGTTGAACGGTTCATGAGTTAAAGCAAGGACATGACTGGAAAGACCATTTTTCAATCTTTCAAGAACCGTAACTCCTGAACGGTGAAAGTGAAAATCGTCAACATTGAACTTGACCTCCATTTTGTCATCAGTAACAACATATTAAATTTGAAAAGCTTTGGTTGAATGGTTCATGAGTTAAAGCATGGACACGACTGGAAAGACCATTTTTCAATCTTTCAAGAACCATAACTCCTGAACAGTGAAAGTGAAAATCGTCAACATTGTTCTTGACCTCCATTTTGTCATCAGTAACAACATATTAAATTTGAAAAGCTTTGGTTGAATGGTTCATGAGTTAAAGCATGGACACGACTGGAAGGACCATTTTTCAATCTTTCAAGAACCATAACTCCTGAACAGTGAAAGTGAAAATCGTCAATATTGAACTTGACCTCCATTTTGTCATCAGTAACAACATATTAAAATTTGAAAAGCTTTGGTTGATCGGTTCATGAGTAAATGCACAGACACTGTTTGGCAGCCGCCCGCCTGCCGTACATCCCCAAATCAATAACCGATTTTTCCTTCGGAAATCCAGTTAAAAACAAATATGTTAAACAACAACATAAGACAACCACAGAATTACAGGCTCCTGACTTGGGACAAGAATACAGAATGTGGAGGGGTTAAACTTGTTTGAAGACGTCAACCCTCCCCTAACCTGGGACACTGGTGTAACAGTACAACATAAGAACAAACTATAAAAATCAGTTGGAAAAGGCTGAACTCATCAGATGGATACAAGTAGAAATACATCTAACAAAAACACAGAGTGGACGTGGACTGGTACTTATACATCCTCACAACAAAAAAGACACTAAGTACAGACCTGAGAGTACTCACAGTTACTGACAGCTAGTTCAAAGCGAATAACAACTATTAACAAGAATGTGTCCATAGTACACGGATGCCCCACTCGCACTATCATTTTCTATGTTCAGTGGACTGTGAAATTGGGGTCAAAACTCTAATTTGGCATTAAAAGTAGAAAGATCATATGATAGACATATGTGTACTAAGTTTCAAGTTGATTGGACTTCAACTTCATTTAAAACTACCTTGACCAAAAACTTAAACCTGAAGAGGGACAGACGGTTTGACGAACGGACGGACGAACGAACAGACGCACAGACCAAAAAACATAATGCCCCAAGTAGGGGCATAAAAAATAATTATGCATCTAAGAATAAATTATCAATTGGTACACATCCAACATCCAATCGATTCAGTGTAAAGACGTCATAAATGTGGCAATATCAAAATTACTGTTAAATTATGTAAACTACAAAAGAGGGGAGAAAGATACCAAAGGGACATTCAAACTCATAAAGTCGAAAGCCATGGTAAAAACAGTTTAAAATGATGGCAAACAATCCTAGAAAGTATGAGATCTTTCTGTAAAACAATCTCAGAGATGTCGTATTCACAAGGTGATTTTGTGACAATACACAAAAAAATGGTCAAAGTCCAATGATTCCTGTAAAAATGGTGGTACAATACTGTCTATATATAAACTACACATGATGACAAACAATCATATCAAGTTTGATGGCTTTCAGTAAAACAGACTCAGAGGAATTGCGTTCACAAGGTGTCATTCTTACAATGCTAAAAAAAATAAAAAATAGTCTAAGTCCCATAACTCCAGTAAAAATTGTCATATCAAACTGGCTATATAGCATGGTCAGGAGAATATGACAACATATAATCCTACTAAGTATGAGAAGTTTATGTCTAACGGTCTCTCAGTGTTGATGTGTTTCAGACGGACTTACAATCACCCTATCCCACAGTTGACACACTAGGGACAATTAAAGGTTTAATAAACTGTATAGTATTTGCTATACATATGTAGGAAAGTTTATCTTTTGTAAAAAATAAAAACTGAAAGAAATAGTGACATTCCTAAAAACATACCCATACACCCATACACCAAATACCAACTGTGGAAATGTACATGTGCAGGGACAGAAAGTGTCAATTTTTATGAAATTCAATAATATAATATTTCAAATAGTGTAAAGTGCATGTTTTCAAAATCAGATGAAAATAGGATTGATTGCTATTATGTTGACCTTATGCTAACATTTTTGGGGATATCTCATTCGTTTTTAAAACAATTTTTGAATGAAAAATAGTTATTACTTACTTATAAAAACATGTACCTATCTTAACCTATCTCTGAAAATATTGGCACCTAACTTAACCCATCTTAGACAATATTGGAACGACAGCAGAAAAAACACATTTTCACCCTTTGTACAAAATGTACCCAGGCAATTTGCACCATAATGAAAACCATATAAATTTGACTAAACTTCAATTTGATTTTTATTGTATTACTTGTACATATCTTTTGTTGTTCCACTGAAAGAGATTAACGAAAAGGAGCTGAGTACCAATGAGACCAGTTTAACGATAACCCTGTCAAATGCTGGTGTTCCTGTTCTTAATCAGAAACACTTATTAGTCGTTATCTACATGTCTTTTGTTTATATTTAAGGAATTTGGAATTTAAACCTTGAACAATTGTATAATGCTTGCTTTATGTTTACCGGTACATGTCTTTCATTTTTTGTGTTGTTGGGTAGCTGTCTCATTGACAAATGCACCACTACTCTTTTACTAACTGATTTATAAATTTGCAAGTATTTATATGTTTTTTTTTTTATTTTTTCAGGTTAAAAACACTTTATTTCATATATTAACCAAATCCAGTGTACCTGATGTCAGTGAAAATAAGTTCCCTGAAATTTTTCTTTAACAATGTCAAAATACAAACATATGGAGTGGCTTTTTCTTTTAATATACATTATACAACTTGTGCATTTTTTTTATATTGTTGATAATAAGAATCTAGGATCTCAAAATTTTATGATTTGATATTTTGCTTTGAAATTGTGATTTGGTAAAAAGCACTGTATATCTATGAAAATGTTAGTCAAGGATTTGTCATTATTTGAGGATATTAGACAGAAATATTTACAAGTAAGCAATTGATAATTTGCAAAAGATTTTGGTTACAAGACTTATGATCAAAACTTGAGAAGAAAAGGCAAAAGAAAAATAATGAGATAAAAATTTGTATAATATTCTTCAATAAAAGATTTAGAGAGTTGTAATTACTTAGGAATGACAGTTTCTTAGTGCATTTCCTAAGCCAATAAATACAAGTTTGGGCAGTATAAAAAAATGCATGCTTCACGTTTCTATAATGTATGTACTGTGGTTTCAATACTATTCGTGGGGTACCAATTTTTGTGGATTTTGTTGGTATAGAGAAACCACAAATTCAAAAGTCAAACGAAGTATTAATTTTCTATAGCTTTATATGCAGACTTTGGTAAAAAAGGATCAAATATCCACAAAAATACACTTCTTCCACGATCCCTGAAAATGGGTAACCATGAAAATATATGAATCCACAGTATATCATAAAATCATATACAGATTCTCAATCAAAATACTTTTGTTGAATCTTCAAATACACAGTAACAATTTCTGCAGATAAGAAATTATAAAGCATAATTTTGACATTATATATAGAAACCAGAAACATAATATTTTTCAATGCTGGCCTTATTACTTACTGTCTCTTTCTGAAAAATAAATCTTAATCAGCAAAGACTTCAAATAAAATATGTATTTTAGACCAGATAAAAAAATCAACATCTCAAACCTCAATTGCAGGTCCACATTATATTGTAGGTTAGCCATACTTTCTTTAATTCAGAAACTGTAATGTTGTATCAAAAAGATAGCTAATAAAATGTCAACAAACAAAAAATAGCAATCTGCATATTTTCATAGTTGACGAATCAGGATAATATTTTTAAATGGCCCTAGTTTGTTGGCTGTTCATTTATAATCCTTTGTCCAATGTTTACTCTTTGAAAGGGGAGGGGAGTGACTTTGGACTCATGAACTACCTGGATATTTTCTATTTTACATTTCTTGAAACTGAACTGGTAGTTCTTTCATTGTTTTTACCTCAGTGCCTGTCAACATTTTAATGACATGAATTCGTTTCTAGCTATATATATATAGACAATCTTTAAAGCCACCACACAGTGATGTGATGTTAAGCAGCATTCAATCAATCAGTCAAAGACATCATATATAATTTCATTTAAAGACTTTTCAAGATGATCTCTGAAATCAGAACCTTCCTCAAAACAGATATTTGGTGTATACAACATTCAATCATTTATACTTCATAGAAAATTGTTTTATGCTGAGTAAGCAGTAATTGGCTACAAGTGATAAAACCTAGTTCTAAAAAAAATACCTTTAACTGATAGTTGACCATTTCCATAATACATTCCTCTGGACTTGGGTAGTCGTCATACTTGACTTTTTTCTTTTTAAATTTCTTTACATAATCAGCATTAGGGAATCTGGAAAAGGGCTCTGTTTCTACTATTTCTATTTCATCCTGGAAAATAAGACAAAAGTTAGTACTTGGGAGTCTATAGTAGGACTCAATTAAAGCTAAATATAATTCTTGAAGAAAAATTGACCGTAAAGCAAAACAGATCGAGAAAGAAATACAACAGATCAAATTGAGCTGAAGTACATCTGTGAAGATTAAATACATTCAAATCCATTCAATGCAAACACTATTAGATTGTGCTTTGACAATTCTCCCTTTACCTCAAAACCTGTTACAAAGTATACGTGTATTTACTGTTAAAACTTTGTAAAATGATAGAATTCTTTTTCTGACTTTACCTGTGATTCTGATTGCTCCTCTATAACAGCTCCAGGACCAAGACTTACCTGTGATTCTGATTGCTCCTCTATAACAGCTCCAGGACCAAACCCTGTCAACAGTGATTTTTTGGATTTCTTTGCTTTTGGTTTTTCTGGAATAGGTTCTGGAGTCCACTACAGTATAAAAAGTCATGATTAGTTACAAGACAGTTGTTATGTTTAACAAAGAGTAACAAGAATGCATAGGTTTTCATGCTAAGTTTAACCCCCACTTATAATTCAAAGTATTGGAAAACGAAAGTAGGTGTCTGACAGATTCAAAAAGTGCACACATGTTATAACTCATCACTGTTGAACTGTTGATGTGTAAATTTTTTTTTAATTCATTCACAATATTAAAAAATACCAAGTATCGGCAAACAGGAAGTAGGTATGCAACAGATCAGAAAAGTATTAAAACATTACAACTCATTACTGTCAAGCTGCTGACCAATTATGAAGTCATTCTGTTCGGTAGTTTCTGAGATAAATGTGACGAAAATATTTTATTGGACTCATGGACAGACAGACCAGGTGAATGCAGTTTAATATTCTAATTCTTGAGTGCTTTAGTATGGTATGATTTAAATATGATTTGTTCAGAAACTTCTAGCTACGGAGGTAATTGGCTATTGAGTATTTTGGTTAAAATATCCTTTGTGTTACATGTACATACCTTAAATGGTACTTGGCAGAGTATATCTTCATCTTCGTGTTGCAGGTATTCAGCTCTTTCCCATACAAACCAAATGTCATGGCTGACTAGTCTCCACATGACTTCAAATACCTAAAACAAATTACAATCAAATCTTACTAATCTTAAATTCACTTGGTGAAAAATTCTTAAAATGTAACATACTAGTATATTTACAGGTATATAAGAATGTTGAATGTGTAAGACAGTCAGCCAATGCTTTACACATAAACATTTATCTTTTCATTACCTACAGAACTTCACATTTAAAAAATTTAATAAAGTTATAGAGAAATAAATTGTATCAAGAAATATCATATATTTTAAAATTTTAGCACTTTTAAAAGCGCTCTTGGTTATTCAAATTTTTCAGACTTAACTACTATTGGCTTTTGTTGTTCTACCAAAAAAAATTCCCAAGATTCAACATTGAACCTTTCTGTTAACTGATCAGTCTTATGAAGATATTTTCCTGACTATGGAAAGTACTTTCTTTATATATATTGTGAAAATTTCACTTTCTTACGACAAATTCATAATACTTTATTTATACAGAGAGAAAATGTTACCTCTTGAGGGAAATTAAAAGTTCTTTATATCTATAGAGTGAGAATGTTTCACTGTGAGTCTTTCTTTGAAGAAAGTTTAGGAACTTTATATGATACAGTAAAAGTTAACATTCTAGAAAAATTCAGGATATTTATACAGAGAAAAAAGTTGTACAATGTACCTTCATATTAGAAAGAGAAAGATTCACATTCTTTGTTAAAATTCAATGGTCCTCATATACTATAGCGAAAGTTTTAGAATTCTTAAGAGAACATCAAACTGATACATTGAAGAAATTATTGTATAATATCAAAAAGCAAGACAAATAGACAATATATCACCAAGTTGAGCAAACGTTTCCAAAGTCATTCCCAATACCATAGATGTGTAGATCACAATAAACTGATATTTTATTATCAATACACAGCAAAATTTAGGAGGGAAAATCAATAAAGGGAGTATTTTTTGTTTCATGATACTGTGGTTTCATTTATATATGTGACAAGCAATTTTTGAGAATTAAGGATAAATTGTAATTTTATCAATATTTCATTTCTTTTTTTTTTTTTACAAATTCTGCAAACAAATATAAAGACAATTTGTACCTCCCTGAACATTTATATTTGTGGTCCACCGATACCCAGCAAATCAACATATATTAGTACTCCTAGAATAATAATGAATCCATGGCCACAGTAAATTTATTCACCTATTTGTTAAATTAAAAAAAAAAAAACATATAATTTTTCTATTAACTTTTTGCTTCTTCCAAAATACAATATATAACGATTTGAATCCACTTTATGCTAATTCAGATAAAGTTTGCTGTATCTTGGTAGTAAAATCAGTTATAAAGATATTCAGTCACTTTCTACTCACATAACGATCGCCTTCAAAACTCTAAAAATTTAACATAAACTGCAAAACGGACCTTTGTTTGGAAATAATATGTGATAATTTGTGTTTGCATACAAATTGTGCATTAAAAGCTTTGAATTGTCACCATTCAAAAAAAACTTATGGTGCAACAATAGAAATAAATTTAAGATAACATCAAAGGATGGAAAATTGAAAATTTAACACCAGAATAGACATTTAATCATATGTGTATCCTTTGTAAGACCACAAAGTTAATATCAATGAAAAGAAATAAAATTTTCCCAGTGACTAACAAATTAAAGTAATAGAAATAAAAATAAAACAACAATCTATTTATTTAACAACAACATGTTTATGTTTTTGCATCCCAAAACCAAATTCTTACCACTGGTTCTCCTTTCTCTTTCTGTAAACACACACATCAAATATAAATATATATTTTCTTACAGAGTAGGCTCATTCAGGGGTTGAATTTGTCCATATTTTGTTCTTTTGTGATTTTGAAGATTTGGTATTGATTGTGGATCTTATATTTGATACTTTCTGTTTTCTCACAATTTATTTTGACTAGAGATGATATAATGCTTGACATATTGTGTAGACAAAAGAAGACTTCCTTTTGCCCTCCGTATGTCTTTTTAAAATTTATTATGATGTTGGATTGCTGTCTCATTGATTTATACCCCACATCTCCATTTATTTATTTTTTTGTATGAAATCTGACTTTAAATACTTTGGTTTCACAGAGCAAAAAGATACATTACTGTAACAGTTAAAAATGGATTAAATACTACAATGGATGGGATGCATAGATTGTTTCTTAAACAATGGAAAATGATTTATACTGAACATTTAAATATATGAAAATACAATATCTAAACAACTCTATAGTGGAAGGTGCACAACTTCAGTAGGTTTTCAAACTCTCTGTTAAGTTCCAAAGATCTGGATTCAAAACAAAAAATTGTTACATTTCATCTTTTGAAATTTATTTTGCTAAAAATAAATAAGTTCCCAAGTCTGGAAAAATGAGAAAAAAAAATTCCTCAAACAATTCGTCAATACCAGTTGCACAATTTCAACATTTGTACAATCTTTCCAAAAGTTTCAGGGATCTGGGTTGATAACTGTAGGAGGAGTTAACTACCCACTTTTCCCCATCCCTCCAGTTGATATCATCATATTACATGTATATTCTGGTTTCCAACCCAGCACAAAAATACTAAATTACATTTAACTTGGAATTATTAACATTTTGTACTCACACATTTTAACGTCAGCAAAATGTAAAGTAGCACTATATCTATATCTAAGAAATTAAATCTCTATCGGAAAAAACTCATGTTTTGTATATATACAATAAACTAAGCAGCATGATTATAAATCATAGAAGTTGTATTATAATCAAACCTGATCAGCACTTCTCATCACAAACAATCGTGAATCAACCGAGGAATCCTGTGGTAATACACCATTGGACTTCAACTCATCTACAATCCAGTCAATACGTGTTTGCTTCTGTTGCTGTGACAACCTACACAGATGAATGCATCATAGTTAGACTGGAATAATTGACACTGCCTTACAGATCAGAAAATTATTAAAATTAGACAGGACTAATAGTTATTTAAATCAAAATCAAAATGTGCTCTGCAATTCCATTCTTGTGGTGATAGTTGTATTTCATATTACACCACAGTCTTGTTATTTAAAAAAGAAATCAGGTTATTTTGTCTGGTAATAAGTATAAATTATTGGATTTTCTGCACACTGATATATATTTACAAAACATGTATCTATATGCAGTAAATTAGATAATCAGTTTAACATATTATAATCTGATAATTTTTTCACCTCCCTTAAATATCTTTCGTGTTTGTTTGTTTGTCCGTCTAGAAGTTAGCCTGATTAGCTCCCCTCTTACATCATGATTTCGCTGATAAAGCCTTGTGTGAGATCAGTTCTGCTTTTATGTTACCTAGCTGTGTTAAAAACATAACTGCCAGAGCATGGTTATATGGGACAAGAAAAGTATGATTTATAAGTGATACATGTAGCTTAAGCATAAAATATTCATTTGTTGGCTAGATATTAAGGGAGGACATTGAACATTTCATCAAATTCTATCAAAAAATTATTTACCCATCAAAACTCTCTAGTCTTTTTATACTGCTACCAGTCATACTCTCAATCAGAAACTTCATATGGGTACCAGTAAGGAGATCCATCAGGCAATTGTTTAAAAGTTGGTCATACTGTAGCAGCCTCATGTTGACCCAGGCAGTAAAGCTACGAATCTTTGTTCGAAGAGACATATTTGGTGCTTTCTTGTATTACCGACCTTCTAAAAAAAAAATGCATAAAGTTCACTAAAATTAATACTAACATGTTTCTTTTGATTATCTGCATTGAAATTATAACAATTTGTTCTGGTAATTGCAGAAGATCATGTCTTTCTGTGCTACTACTTATGACAGCGCTGTTTGAAATATTCTTTGGTACAATGGTAGGACAGCTACCAAGAATAGATTGAAGGACAGTGTGCTTTCAGTAACTGTTTTGAGCCTTTGATACTGTTTAATATTGTTTTGCAAGTACTTGTGTTTTTTAAGTGTTATCTATTATACCGTTATTTTAGAGTACTCTTCCTGTACTGATTTTATTAACATACAATGTACCTTAAGCTTTTATTTGCCCACTGATCAAGATTAATAAACTGTTATCACAGAGATATGTCTCGCCTTTTTGTAATTTTGATAATGTAAATGTTGAAATTAAAATAGCAATATTTAACATGTAAGTTATGCAAATATTCAAAGTCGATGAACCATGACTGAAGGTACATGGCTAATTATATATATAAACAATCTCCATGGAATGAGATGTGCCAATGCTAATACAACTGCATACCAAATACCATTGACTTATTATAAGTTGTTCCCTTTAAACAAACCTAAACACAAACATTAACTTGTAAACTATGTAAAAGTTTCAAAGTCAATGAACCATGATCAGGGGTAGGCTATATAATCTCCAAGGAAACGATACTTGCAAATGCAAATAAATTTGCAAACCAAATATCATTGACTTAACATTAGCAGTTCATCTTAAACTGATCTAATCACAAACTAATACATGTAAACTAAGCAAAAGTTTCAAAGTATTCTCAATGGAAATGAGATGTGCTAATGCTTATACAACTGAACACCAATTAATATTGGCCTACCACTAATGGTTCCCTTTGAACTGACCTAATCACAAACTAATACATGTAAACTTAGCAAAATTTTCAAAGTCTATAGACCATGACTTAGGGGGCGGAGCCAAATAATCTCCATGGAAATGAGATATGCCAATGCTTATACAACTGCATACCAAATATCATTGACCTACCACTAGTGGTTCCCCATAAATTGACCTAATCACAAACTAATACATGTAAACTATGAAAAGTTTCAAAGTCAATAGACCTTGACTGAGGGGGCGGGGCCAAATAATCTCCATGGTAATGAGATGTGCCAATGCTAATACAACTGCATACCAAATATCATTGACCTACCACTAGTGGTTCACCATGAACTAGACTTATCACAAACTAATACATTGTTGATGCCGCCGCCGGAAACAGCATACCTATGTCTCGCTTTTTGACTCAGTCAAGGCGAGACAAAAATGGGAGGGTTGAGATCTGAAGAAACTAATTAAACCTCTCTAGTGATTTTTTTGGACAAATTTTTTGTTGCTGTTGTCTTTTTGGGGAATTTCATGTTAATGTCAGATCTCTGTTAAATTTTTTTCACAACTATTGAGTTTTCTAAGACTCTGGACCATTTAGAGCTTGACACATTGTATAGATATCTGTCTATTGTTCAAGACTGTATATTAACCTCCAGATATCTTTTTTTCTATGTTGTTTGGTTGCCATCTCATTGAATACATGTATACATAACATGTACCCCACATCTCTATTTTCATATTTCAACAAAACATGTAGTTTTATAGCCAACCGAGCCAAAAATTCAGACTTTGCATAATCTACAAATCTGTCAGTCCTAACTGCAAAAAATTTATCAGGTCTATCATTTTAAAATTTTCAGTTGTTCGGGTTGTCTAACTTAGTCATATGGATAACAAAGGTTGTTTTTGTCCGTTGTTCCAAAGTTGGATTGTTGGACAAATCATAAAGCACTGATTTCTGGTTGTACATGTACCTGTAATATTTGTCAATGACAATGTAAATCATAAGCTTGGAACCAGTTGAAATAATTATGATGGTGGTATGGCCTGTTTGCTATGCAAGTTTTTTTTTTATTTGACTACCAAAAAGTAGCAAATTAGGAGACAGATTAATAAAAGCAATTTTTGCTTGTTTCTGAATCCTATTTATTTCATGTATCAGAATTGTATACTATGTATTGATTTATCTCAATAAAATATTGTTTAAACTAAAAAGGAGCAAGAAAATAATACTGACATCATCCTCTTTCACAGGTGACACCTGTCTTTTTTTATATAGTCATAAAAGTTAGAAGGTCATGTATAATTTAAGGTTCATGTGGACCCTTTGGCTAAAATGGCTGCATTTTCACCTCAAAATTTATTCTGAGTACAGACAAATTGGAGTATCTGGAAAAAATTTAAGGCATAGCATGCTCTAGATGAATTAAATTCATATACATTTTCTCTTTTAGAAAATTAAAAACTTAACTAAATTTTGCAGTGCACTTTATTCATTTTCTCCAGAAGGTGCCAAAATGTACAAAGTTGGGAAAGAGGTTTGAGAACTTCCCCACAGGCAGTAATAATTGAAGTGAACTATTTTAGTCTCTGGTGCATGATTTTTTATTATTGTTTTGGCTTTTAGAAAATTAAAAACTTAACTAAATTTTGCAGTGCACTTTTATTCATTTTCTCCAGAAGGTGCCAAAATGTACAAAGTTGGGAAAGAGGTTTGAGAACTTCCCCACAGGCAGTAATAATTAAAGTGAACTATTTTAGTCTCTGGTGCATGATTTTTTATTATTGTTTTGGCTTTTAACTAGCTTTCAGTAACTGCGAGTACTCTCAAATCGTACTTTCTTGTTAATTTGACCTGTTGATACAATTTGTAATGTATTTTTGTTATTTAATGTTTACTTATTCAGTGTTATATCTAGTCTCACTATTTTTAATTTATACCACCTTTGATAAGTGTTTAGTATGACGATAAATTTTCACTTTTGTTCTCATACTAGGAACAACAAAATTATTTATTTTGTAAAAATTATTTCCGTACTCCATGTATACCTTACAACAAAATTATTTTTATTTACCTGTGTACGTTATTTTATTTGGCGGCATTTTGTCCAAGGTTATGGTTGACTTTTTGATAAATGTTTTACATCTAACCCCCTTGTTTTATTAATTTTGTATTTACATTGTCATCATGGTCATAGATGAAATTTATTCGTTCAGTTTATGTTCACTTGTTTTTGTTATGTCTCTTGATCGAGTTAAGCCATTTCAATTGATATTTTATAGTGTGTCTTTCTATGTTGTGATGTTACACTATTGTTTCAGGTAGGGTGAAGGTTGACGCCTATTAAAACTTTTAAACCAGCTGCATTTGTTTGCACCTGTCCTAAGTCAGGAACCTGATGTTCAGTGGTTGTCGTTTGTTGATGTGGTTCATAAGTGTTTCTCGTTTCTTGTTTTTTATATAGATTAGACCATTTGTTTTCCTGTTTGAATGGTTTTACACTAGTTATTTTTGGGGCCCTTTATAGGTTGCTGTTTTTGGTGTGAGCCAAGGCTCCATGTTGAAGGCCATACTTTGACCTATAATGGTTTACTTTTACAAATTGTGACTTGGATGGAGTGTTGTCTCATTGGCACTCATACCACATCTTCTTATATCTATGTATTGATTGATATGGACAATAGAAGGACAATAGATACCTGACAATAATTAGTGATTCAAACTGAGTACCTGAGTGGACCATATCAAGTGAAACTCAACTGTCTGTTAATTTTATCATCTTTTCCATGGACGAAAAAACGTGCACAGCAAAATCCAGTGGAGTTTAAAATTTTCTTAAACATAAAATGCATTAAAATTTATCTATCTAGGGCATGCTATGCCTTAAAACTTTTCCAGATGCACAGGTTTGTCTGTGCTCAGAGTAAATTTTGAGGTGAAAACGCAGCCATTTTAGCCCAAGGTCCACATGAACCTTAAGTTAAGTTAAGGTTCATCACAACAAATGAACAAATATGGCCGTATTTTCACCCCAAAAACTACTCTGTGTACAGACTTACCTGTCCAGTTAGTAAAGTTTTAAGGCCTGGCATCCACTAGATATATAAAAGTTAAATTTATTTTGCATATCAGAAAGATAAAATCTTTTTTGGATTATGATGGGCATTTTTTTCCGTTCCTGCAGAAAGTGTAAAAATAAACTAAGTTGGGATATAACTTTGAGATGCTCCCTCTCAGGTAACAACTGATTTGTATTGTATTGATTGTCCTTGATTGGCATGGACAAAAGATATCTACACATCTATAGGTGAGTTAAAGGTAGTAACTGAGTGGAGAGTATCAAATGCACTTCAGGTGTTTGTTTATTTTTACACCTTCTGCAGGAAGGAAAAAAAATGCCCATCATATTCAAAAAAAGATTTTATCTTTCTGATATGCAAAATAAATTTAACTTTTATATATGTAGTGGATGCCAGGCCTTAAAACTTTCCAAACTGCACAGGTAAGTCTGTACACAGAGTAGTTTTTGAGGTGAAAATACGGCCATATTTGTCCATTTGTTATGATGAACCTTAAGCAGGTCAGGAATAACCACCAATTGGTGGATTATACCTCAATTGATGTATAATCCACCAATTGACATATAGTGGTATAGACCAATTGACGTATAATGCAAGTTTTTTTGTTATGAAATGCTAGTATGAGATAGGAGCATCATTTTGCAACTTACAACCTATTTTATGACCATTATTGAGTCCTCCGAAAGTTTCAGTTTTGTCAAAGCCTGCTGCATCTCTTGAGAATGCATGTGTACAACAATTCTTTTTGTTGAAACATCTGTACTTTTGACCATGATTGACCGTTAATAATGAAAGTCAAGTATTAACAAAGAGCTCCATTCACCTGTGGTGTTGTACTCATAATCACATGACTGCAGACAGTATTGAAGTCCATTGACAGGTGATTAGTGGTAAATTTGCCAATCAGGAATTGACAAGATAACAATAGAAGAAACTGCAAATACAATTATTGATTAAATGCAATATGTTATGTCACTATACTAAACTAGGAATGTTTGACATGTTTTCATACAATAATATGGTTTTAAGAAAACAATGCTCCATTTTGGTTGAATAATTTGCTTTGAAAAACAAAGAATTATATGTCAATTGGTCTATACCATTATATGTCAATTGGTGGATTATACGTCAATTGAGGTATAATCCACCAATTGGTGGTTATTCCTGACCTGTTAAGGGTTGATATTACTGTATATTTATTTCGCAATATACTCTTATTTATAGGTACTCTGATGCTAACTGTTTTTAAATATCTTCAGGTCTTATTCTGTGTCGATCAAGTTTCATCAAACCATTCCATTTTCTTATGTAGACGTTAGAATTGAATTCGTGTGCACCTGCATCTCTTGGCGGTCACTTGGTCGCCATTTGTAAACATACAAGAGATTAATCGCGACTCGCGACTTATCCAACAAAAATATGAACTCTCCCAAAAGTTCCGAAAGTAAATATGTGATCATTTCGGACCACATGTTCGTCCTTCGTATGAGATATTTACAATATCTGTCGGACTCGAAGTCCGGGTACGAGTAAGACAACAAATCAGACAGGTAAGCTATAGGGGTGATCTCAAAATATTTGAACGCTATACAAATATAGCCTTTGTATGAGGTCGATACAAGGATATATTGACCTGAAAGAAGTATATTGACTGAGGACGAAGTCCGAGGTCGATATACTTCTTTGGGTCGATATATCCTGTATTGACCTCATACAAAGGCTATATTTGTTATATTATTAATTTTCGACCATATTTGTATCAAAATCGTCATTTGATTTTGTTGGAATTTTATAGATATTATATTGTCTCCTTGACAATAACAACATATTAGTTGTTATTTCATTTACTTTTTTTTGTTTGTTTGACATCTTATGTATTTGAAAAAAATTTTTGTCAAATAATCGATCACAGATGTCATTTGTTTCAAAACGTTGAACAATATCCTGAAATTCATTACATGACGTCACAAAGTATATCGGTTTTTAGATATTCTAAAAATAACCGTGCAATATGCATTTTGCTGTGCAATATGCTTTTTGCTATCCGCCGTTTTCCCTCTACCTTCAAAAATATAGTTTAACATGTGACTATCCCTAAACGAATCAAATTTGTTAAAATATACGAATTAATAATATTAATTAATATTACCTTGCTCAATCTTGACGTGCTGACAGAACAAACCGACGTTTTTTTCTTTCTTTTTAATGAAGAGTAGAAAAAGCGTTATGCTCGCTTACAGATATGCCGAGACTGATTTCAAAACTTTCATAACAATCATTTTATGTCTGATAATTTTTATAGTTAACATTAAAAAAAAACCCCGATTTTCAATTTAAATTGTCCTCTCATAGCTGACGAATTATTTATAACACTGTTGTTCAGTCTTTTTTATAATTTAATTCAAGTTTTGTTTTTGGTGCTATTTGTTTCTACCGTGTATTGTCTTGGAGGATAGGATACACATTTCAATTAAATGATTACTAATTGTATCAAACCCTTCTAGGTTAGGAATATTTAGGTTTTTTTAAGCTGAGAGTGTATTGTAATGCATACTCCTATTCGCATTGATTTTGACAGGAACAAAATAAAAATTATATTAGTTATACTGTTCCCAGATTTTGAGGAGAAAAAAAATGACATCATAAGCTATGTGAATCATTTTGAATATCCAATCAGCATACATTTAATGTATCAACCTTCTAAGTCCAATTATCATCCCTATCATGATACCTTCAAACTGTTTGTCTACCTAAAAATAAGTCTGACAGAGAACCATATCAGGCTTCTTGTTTTTCAAATAGTCAATTCTATATTATCAATTACATTTCAGCTATGTAGTTCGCAGAAGCCTTTTTGATTTTTTATAGACAAATTAATTGAAAGCGTGTTCTATGTTTGCATTCCTTTATTATGCAATTTCAGAAGAAAAAATAAAATCGAGGAGCAAATTATACAATAGAAAAAGAAAGGGCGGAAAGAATCAAAACGACACGATGACAACATCATATCAAATGCAAACAAATCATGGCTCTGGACTTCCTGGAGAGAAACCTAACAGTACCAAACACCAACATTAATTCCCGTGCATAATCAATATTATAGTGAGACTAAAACTTGAATACGCCTCTAGTTTATAGGATCCACACACAACATTGTGTTCTATAAAGTCTTCCTTAGACTCATTGCAAATACATCGCTAGTCCTAAAACCAACAGATACTGGAACAAGAAAAGCACATAACCAATCATTTCGGCAAATATCCACCTCAAAAGACAGTTACAAAAGGTCATTTTCCCTCAAACAATAATACAATGGAACTTGATACCACAAGTTGTAGTAGCATGCATGTCAAACAATTGAAATCTTTTGACACCAACTGTTCTCCAAAACATAAAGTAACTTAACAAATATCAATGTACATATTTTAAACCATTTTTTATCTTTTCCTCAATATTGACACAGATGGACGACTTCACACGAAAATCTATGATAAACGGGACGATTTCAACTTCCCAATTATCAATTTCCCATTTCTCAGCAGTAACATACCCTCTGCCCCTTCGTATGGTGTTTACATATCTCAGTTGATACGTTATGCTCGTGCATGTTCACACTATACGGACTTTATATACAGGAGTGTGCTCCTAACGCAGGAACTGCTCCAACAAAGCTATGAGGAGGACAGATTAAAAATGACACTCCGTAAATTTTACGGACACCATCACGAATTGGTCGATCCATACGATGTGTCTTTGTCCAAACTAACTAAGGACATTTTTACCACGTGTTAGATTGTGGTTTGACATTACATCGTCTGATCTTTTAATTACCGAACGTGACTTATTCCCGATTGTGACTGTTTTGCTGAGTGTGAATTCGCATTGCTATAAGACGTGTCACGGTACTTTCTATCCAAAATTTATGTATTTAGTTTTGATGTTATATTTGTTATTCTCATCGGATTTTGTCAAATGTCTTATCGTTTGTAGTTGTAAATCTTTTTTTTTCTGTTGTATTCGTGTGTTATGGTAAAGATTATTAATCACCCTGTTCGTTAATTAGATTTTAGTTTGGGTCAACTAAATTTATACGATATATTTGGTTTACAGTTTGATTTAGAAGAAACACCGACATAGCTAGATAATACTATTAATTATCTTATTACTACCACATTTTATATTAATTAGTATTGTAATTTTCATTGTTATTGATAAATGTTATATGAGTATTATAAACCAAATCTTGAATTCTATCCTAATTCTATCCTATTTTGGGGAAATTTCAGAAATTCAAATGTGACGTCACCTTTTTTTAGCGTTGATATTTTTGGCTAACTCGGCTGTGAATTTTTATGTGCTGGTTTATGTTGTTTTATGTATCCGTTTTTATTCTGTAGTTAGTCACCACTTCGGTGTTATCATGTATATCTATTATATAGTCATTTCTACAAATTTACTGTTTACAAAAGTATGAATTATTCTAAATACTAAAGATTTTCTTATCCAAGACATATAACCTTAGCCGTATTTGGCACACCTTTTTGGAACTTTTGGTCCTCAATGCTCTTCAACTTTGTACTTGTTTTGGCTTTCGTACTTTTTTTATCTGAGCGTCACTGGTTAGTCTTGTGTGGACGAAACGCGCGTCTTGCGTATTAAATTTTAAACCTGATACCTTTTGTTAGCTATTATTCGTATGTTTCTCTGTCCTATATGTTCTCCCATTTATTTGTATTGTAGTCCTGTCATAGTAATGTTGTTATTTTAATGTTATATTTAACATTGCCATAAAAGCGGGAGGTTTGGCTAGACACAAAACCAGGTTCAACCCACCATTTTTTCTTAAAATGTCCTGTACCAAGTCAGGAAAATGGCCATTGTTATATTATAGTTCGTTTCTGTGTGTGTTACATTTTAATGTTGTGTTTCTGTTGTGTCGTAGTTCTCCTCTTATATTTGATGTGTTTCCCTCAGTTTTAGTTTGTAACCCGGATTTGTTTTTCTCTCAATCGATTTATGAATTTCGAACAGCGGTATACTACTGTTGCCTTTATTAATCACTTGTTGTCTTTTTTCATCTAAATATCACTATTCAATTCAAGTAATCTACAAATTAAAAAAAAATGTTGTGTAATTATTATGTGAATATTTTTAATCACATACTCCGCGCATGCAACAGTTCGTTATATCATGGAACTATTATATTGTCGATATAATACTTCCATGGTTATATTTAGTTATTAAAGTTATTGGTCACATGACGTAGTAACGGTCAAGTGATTGTTTACTATAAACACGTGTTTGTGTGTATATCAAGCACATGGTTTGTGTTTATGTTAAATATGATTGGATGGCATAGTACCCGCAATGCGTCTTTTACGGGTATATACAGCTCATGAGATTCGTGAAAAGCATGATCAAGTATATCTTAAGGGGTTCGTTTTAGAAAATAAAATTATTCGAAGTTTGCCTATAGTTAACGTAGCAGCAGATCGTTATTATGTATACCCACCCACCCTTTTTGAGTTGATTATTGTTAATGTGGGTATATAAATTTATTAAATTATATTAATATGTATTTTTCCTCTATTGTAGATAGATTTTGATTGTGTATTCTATTATATGATTGGATTGGTTGTGTGCTTGAATTTATAGTGAAGGACTTTAGTTTGAAGAATTTTGATTGTAATTAATATATTAAAGGCTGCTACACCTGTAGGCACACTTATCCTATTTATGTGTTGTTTTATTTATTAAATAATTTATATTCGTTTGAGCTTTGCGAATTAGAATATAACTTCAATTATATGAAGCTGATAATGTATTTCGAAAGAAGAAGTAGCCTGGACGGAGTAGTGTGTGGGAGGAACATAGAAAGTACATATATAGGTGGATACGGAGTGAAGATACTTTACCTGATAAAATACAGCCAAAGAAATGTTATTTTATTTTTGGAACAGACAATATTTTTTTTTGTATGAATTTTTTGACAGCAAAGGAATGAGGTTAAATGCATATGATTTATATGTTAAGAAATTTCTGTGTTTTTCCTTTTTGATAAATAGAATAAATAAATAAGACTTGCTGTTATCATATTTTTGTTTCACTTATATGCAAAGCGACAGCATTGAATCAAAGGACAGTCCAATCACTTTCAGATGAATTTAAATCAGCACCGAGTCTTTTAAACACTTTGGGAACCTGTTTTGTAATATATGTTTCATATCTTTCATGGTTACTAAAAATGAATTACATTCAAGTTTTTTTATCAAGCTAAGGCGACAGAGGTAGCCCTAAATCGGAGCGAAAAGAAAAGTCCAATCATCACTCTAAGTTAGATACTTATATGTTCAAGTCTTTCGATCAGCTT